TGGCAGTGTGGGGAGCAAGACAGGAAGACTGTTTCATGAGGCGAAGGCCAGGAATGTGACTGTCGGGGAGTGGGGGAGATGTGAGCATATGGGTAATTATGTGTTGGGGTTACCAAGGATTTCGGGCTTTTGTGAGTGAGAAGAACATGGGTTTGAAAAAGAGATTAGAGGGCCAGGCGCATTGACTCATACCTGTAATCCCAGCACTTTAGGAGGCTGGGGTGGGAGGATCGCTTGAGCCCATTAGTTTAAGATTAGTTTGGGCAACATAATGAGACCTCATCTCTGCAAAAAAATTAAAAATTAGCCAGGCATGGTGGCAAGCGCCTGTGGTCCCAGCTACTCAGGAGGCTGAGGGGGGAGGATCACCTGAGCCCAGAAGTCAAAGCTACAGTGAGCTGTGATCAGGCCACTGCACTCCAGCCTAGGCAACAGAGCAAGGCCCTATCTCGAAAAAAGATTGGGAAGCATGACAATCTCAAAGGGGCTTGAGTTTCAGAGAAGCAGTACTGTGGGTCCCAGCAGGCAGCAAAGACTAACAGGAGGAGACCTCCAGACAGGCAGAAACAGCACAGGGTCTGAGATGAGACCAAATCCACAAAGCCTCCAGAGGTGAATTTGGCCCTCACTCTTCCCCACATCATAGTTAGGTGATATCCCCTTACAATGTCCCCACCTCCTCCAGGTCCCAGCTACAGCGTAGGACCCTATGGCCAGCATAACGCAGGACTGGAGGGGAGCTAAGATCCAGGAACCTAAGGCAGCCTGGCACTGGACTCCCTGTGTTCTGGACAGTGGGGGTGCTGAAAGTGATCTGGACTCCTCCCTCCCCTTGGCCCACTATGATTTCACCCCTGCCAGGGCTCGTGAGCTGATTCCATGCACTTCCTGCCTGAGAGGGAGCAGAAACCTGAATGGCTGTCCAATCCTCCCCCTTGCCCACACCAACACAGGGCCCATGATTACCAGACACTCCCATCCCTACCCACCCTCTCCCCAGAACAGCTTGCAGAAAGGTGTGTGTGATATAAATCACTGCCCGGAGCAACCTGAACTAAGAACCAACCCCAGCCCTAGACCTGTTTTTTCAGGAAACCCTCCCAGCAGCAGCCTCCCTATTTCCCCTAGTGGCCCTCCTTGTCCTCCCCACCAGAGCAGAGAGGGACTGAATGAAGGTTCCCTTACCAAGATTCCCCCACAACTCCCCTTCCCAGGGCCAGCTCATGCTGATTGTCATTTTTAAGTTTATGCCCGAAGCCCAGCCGACATGGTTCATGCTTAGCCTAGACCACACAAGAAATCCGCAGAGAGCACAACCCAGGCTTCCCCACTTCCCTGGCAGAGCTCCAGGACCAGAAGGCTGGGGAGTCGGCCTGGGCCCTAATGAGGCCCTCAGGGATAAGGCAGGGGCTCCTCTCCCACTTGTCTAGGGAGGCCTCAGAGTTAGGAGCCCCCTTCCCTAGTTCTGACCTGCCCAGGCCGTTTCTCCCCAGCTTTCTCTCTTTGCTCTGGCAGTGGGCAGCCGGGTGAGCCAGGAGCTGCATTACACCAAGGAGAAGCTGGGGGAGGAGGCTGCATACACCTCTCAGATGCTGATACAGACCTCACGCCAGGAGGGAGAGAACATCCTCACGCCTGAAGCACTTGGCCTCCACCTCCAGGCAGCCCTCACTGCCAGTAAAGTCCAAGTATCACTCTATGGGAAGTGAGTCTGGCTGAGCCCCTGAGCAGCTGGGGGTGAACGTGCCATGGGGGTTCTGGAGTGGGAATCCCCCTCTTCTGCTGATCTCATGTGCCCCTGGCTGTTGCAGGTCCTGGGATTTGAACAAAATCTGCTACAAGTCAGGTGTTCCCCTTATTGAAAATGGAATGATTGAGCGGGTAAGTGTCCTGAGAGGGAGCAGAGGCGGAACCTTTTCTGTGGCGTGGGGGGACTCAGAGAGACGCAGCAAGCCCCACGGCCTGCAATCCTCCCCCTTAAAACTAAGGAAGGGGATTGCAGAGGGCATCCTACAAAGGCTGTGGGGCAGGACTGATGTGGCCCGGGTGTCCCTGGCAGATGATTGAGAAGCTGTTTCCCTGCGTGATCCTCACACCCCTCGACTGCTTCTGGGAGGGAGCCAAACTCCAAGGGGGCTCCGCCTACCTGCCGTGAGTGCCAGAGCTGCTCCGGGCCCTGCTTCATCTCCCGCTGGAGACTCTCCCAGCAGAAAGGAGGGGTCGGGGGAATGAGGTTGATCAAAACCTTACCAAGACCCTGATTACCTCCCAGGCCAGGAACAGAGCATGGGCTTCCGCAGGGCGCTCTCCACATCCCCCTTCTTCCCTCTGAAGGAAGGAAGACCGTCTTATTTAGACAAAACTAAACACAAAGATCTGTTAGCTCCGAGCAAAGGAGAAAAAGATCCCCAGAAAGAGGCTTTGCTGGGGGGAATTACCTAGGTGTCTGCTAAGCTGTTGCCCAGGTGAGAAAGAAAACCCGTTACAGGCATGTGCCTGCTGGTTATATATTAGAACCAAGCACAGACAGCTTGCTAAGGGACTCAGTGGCGCCTTTCCAGGCCCTTTCTATGTATTAGGTAACCCTGCCCTGATATCCTCTTGTACCCATCTACAGCTCACTGCAGCACCCTGGTGGGCCTATGCAGCCTGGCAGTTCTGAGAAGCTGAGCCTTGCACACCCTCCATATTGAGGGACAAATCAGCAGATAAGAGAAGAGTGGGGCACAGCATGGGGCCCCAGTAGCAGTTTGGAGCCTGGGTTTTCATCCCTGACCCTCGCCAACCATGGGCTTTCCCCTCAGTGGCCGCCCAGATATCCAGTGGACCAACCTGGATCCAGAGCAGCTGCTGGAGGAGCTGGGTCCCTTTGCCTCCCTTGAGGGCTTCCGGGAGCTGCTAGACAAGGCACAGGTGGGCCAGGCCTACGTGGGGCGGCCCTGTCTGCACCCTGACGACCTCCACTGCCCACCTAGTGCCCCCAACCATCACAGCAGGCAGGTGGGTTCCAGCCAGGTCTGCAGGGAAAGACTGTTTTCCTTCCCTTTCCCCTCCTCATACATTCCTGTATTCTGCGGGAGCGGACAGCTCTGTGCCCTGACCCCCACTTCCTGGCCATTGTTACCCTGCTCCCACTGTGCCAGGACCCCAGTGTTCCATTCCCATTCCTTATCCTACAGAACCCTCAAGTGGTATATGAATCCCTTTTTCCTTTTATAAGGCTGGACTTTTCTTTTTGAGTCTTGCTCTGTCGCCAGGCTGGAGTGCAATAGCTTGATCTTGGCTCACTGCAACCTCAGCTCAAGCAGTTCTGCCTCAGCCTCCCAAGTAGCTGGGATTACAGGCACCCGCCACTACACCTGGCTAATTTTTGTTTTTTCAGTAGAAATGGGGTTTCACCACGTTGGCCAGGCTGGTCCCAAACACCTGACTTCAGGTGATCCACCTGCCTCGGCTTTCCAAAATGCTGGGATCACAGGTGTGAGCCACTGTGCCCGGCCAAGGCTGGACTTCTTATCAAAATAGACTCATATAGGGTAACTAAGAACACAGTAGATAAGCATGAATATCATACCTGGTTTCCCAAGTGTCTTTACAGCCCTGCGAATGTGGTCCTTCAGAATCCACCAAAGCTACACCAGCTCCTCCCAGCAGCCTACTCTCTGCTCCCCCTTGTGGCTTCCTAGTTATCTACGGCCAGAGCCTTAAACATTAACCGCTCCTATTCCCCTCCAGGTTCCCAATGTGGCTGATGAGCTGAGTGGGGGCTGCCATGGCTTCTCCCACAAATTCATGCACTGGCAGGAGGAATTGCTGCTTGGAGGCACGGCCAGAAATCCCCAAGGACAGCTGCTGAGGTAGGGCCTCTGCTGGGAGTTGATGAGGGGACTCCATGAATGAGAATCCATATTGTAATGTCAGGCAGCTCTGGCAAAAGCCCCTGCACATTCTTGCCAGGTGTATAGGCCAGGCTGACCCCTGGTTCCCCCCCACACTCCTCGCCAGGTGTCTGGGCCAGATCTGAAATTTGTTCCCTCGAATACCCTTGCCAGGTGTCTGGACCAGCTAGACCCCTGGTTCCCCCCCACACCCCTTGCCAGGTGTCTGGGCCAGCTCTGACCCCTGGTTCCCCTGCACCCCCCACCAGGGCAGAGGCTCTGCAGACCACCTTCTTGCTGATGAGTCCCCGCCAGCTGTACGAGCATTTCCGGGGTGACTATCAGACACATGACATAGGCTGGAGTGAGGAGCAGGCTGGCACAGTGCTACAAGCCTGGCAGCGGCGCTTTGTGCAGGTCAGTCAGTATGGACAAGGACAAGGGGGATGCCCTGAGGCCACTCCCTCCTCCTGCCCCCTCAGATCCGCCCTGTTTCTCCAGCTGGCCCAGGAGGCCCTGCCTGAGAATGCTTCCCAGCAGATCCACGCCTTCTCCTCCACCACCTTGGATGACATCCTGCATGCATTCTCTGAAGTCAGTGCTGCCCGTTTGGTGGGAGGCTACCTGCTCATGGTGGGTCCTGCACTGGGCACCTTGCCCCCACCCCGCCTCCACCCAGTGCCCACCCTGTCTGAGACTGCCCTTTCTCCCCACAGCTGGCCTATGCCTGTGTGACCATGCTGCGGTGGGACTGTGCCCAGTCCCAGGGTGCCGTGGGCCTCGCTGGGGTGCTGCTGGTGGCCCTGGCGGTGGCCTCAGGCCTTGGGCTCTGTGCCCTGCTCGGCATCACCTTCAATGCTGCCACTACCCAGGTACACCAGGACTGCAGGGCCAACTCAGTGCCAGTCGCCAGGCTACTGGGTCCTCCAGCTGCCCACTCTCTGCCCCTCCAGGTGCTGCCCTTCCTGGCTCTGGGAATTGGCGTGGATCACATATTCCTGCTGGCACACGCCTTCACAGAGGCTCTGCCTGGCACCCGTCTCCAGGTGGGGCCTCATCCTCCAGGGCTCATCTGAGGCAGCTCAGCCTATTGGTTAAGAGCCTCTTGGTTCAAGTGACCTTGGGCTGCTAATGAACCTCAGTGCCTCAGTTTCCCCATCTGTAAACAGGGGATCCATAAGATAACTCAAGTTGAGTGCTTAGAATAGCCCATGACATGTGCATGGTACCCAGTAAGTGCTAGCTGCTATGTTATGACTGCCCCACCTCCACACCCCAGGTTCCTGAGCCTCCCCTTGACTCTACCTTGACACAGCCCATCCCTTGTGACCTGAGGGCAGGTCCCCACTCTGTCCTGGCAGGACCGCATGGGCGAGTGTCTGCAGCGCACGGGCACCAGTGTGGCCCTCGCATCCATCAACAACATGGCCGCCTTCCTCATGGCTGCCCTCGTTCCCATCCCTGCACTGCGAGCCTTCTCCCTGCAGGTGAGGCCTCACATGGGGCAGGCCAGGGTGGGTGTGGAGCCGAGGCCGAGCTTCATCCAGCCTTCATGCCCCTCCTGTCCATCCCCCAGGCGGCCATAGTGGTTGGCTGCACCTTTGTAGCCGTGATGCTTGTCTTCCCAGCCATCCTCAGCCTGGACCTACGGCGGCGCCACTGCCAGCGCCTGGATGTGCTCTGCTGCTTCTCCAGGTACTGTCTGCACCCCAGCCCTCCTCCTGTGACCCACGCCAGCCTGTCCCCTCACCAGCATTTCAGGGCATAGACCTCTCATCCGCTCTCTGCCTCTTCCAGTCCCTGCTCTGCTCGGGTGATTCAGATCCTCCCCCAGGAGCTGGGGGACAGGACAGTACCAGTCGGCATTGCCCACCTGACGGCCACAGTTCAAGCCTTTACCCACTGTGAAGCCAGCAGCCAGCATGTGGTCACCATCCTGCCTTCCCAAGCCCACCTGGTGCCTCCACCTTCTGACCCACTGGGCTCTGAGCTCTTCAGCCCTGGAGGGTCCACACGGGACCTTCTAGGCCAGGAGGAGCAGCCAAGGCAGAAGGCAGCCTGCAGGTCCCTGCCCTGTGCCCGCTGGAATCTTACCCATTTTGCCCGCTTTCAGTTTGCCCCCTTGCTGCTCCAGTCACAGGCCAAGGTAAGACTGGGTGGAACAGGACAGAGACTTAGCATCTCTGGGCCCAGAAGGGCAGAGGGCTTAGTCCACCCCCTGAGGGGATGGGGGGCAGCCCTAGGGCCTCCAGCAGAGTTGCCATTTCCCACAGGCCATCGTGCTGGTGCTTTTTGGCACTCTTCTGGGCCTGAGCCTCTATGGAGCCACACTCGTGCAAGACGGGCTGGCCCTGACGGATGTGGTGCCTCGGGGCACCAAGGAGCATGACTTCCTGAGCGCCCAGCTCAGGTACTTCTCCCTGTACGAGGTGGCCCTGGTGACCCAGGGTGGCTTCGACTACGCCCACTCCCAACGCGCCCTCTTTGATCTGCACCAGCGCTTCAGTTCCCTCAAGGCCGTGCTGCCCCCACCGGCCACCCAGGCACCCCGCACCTGGCTGCACTATTACCGCAACTGGCTACAGGGTGAGAGGCGAGGAGACTGGCAGGGTGGCGTGCTGCAGGAAGAAGCGACCTGGGGCCACCAGCTAACAGAACCGTATGCTGGTCTCTCCCAGGAATCCAGGCTGCGTTTGACCAGGACTGGGCTTCTGGGCGCATCACTCGCCACTCGTACCGCAATGGCTCTGAGGATGGGGCCCTGGCCTACAAGCTGCTCATCCAGACTGGAGACTCCCAGGGGCCTCTGGATTTTGGCCAGGTTGGGAAAGGGCTGGAAGGGTTGGGGAGCACAGTGGCTGCAGGCTTCTGGGCCCAGGCCTTCAGCCCTCTCTGCTCTGCAGCTGACCACAAGGAAGCTGGTGGACAGAGAGGGACTGATTCCACCCGAGCTCTTCTACGTGGGGCTGACCGTGTGGGTGAGCAGTGACCCCCTGGGTCTGGCAGCCTCACAGGCCAACTTCTACCCCCCACCTCCTGAATGGCTGCACGACAAATACGACACCACGGGGGAGAACCTTCGCAGTGAGTCCCGGGGGGAGCTTAGCAAGATCCTCTGCCTCGCCCACACAAGCCCCGAGCCTGAGGCCCTGCCTACTCTGCCCCATGCTCACCGCCTGGTCCCTTTTCCTCTTCTCCCTTACCCTCCCCTCCGCAGTCCCGCCAGCTCAGCCCTTGGAGTTTGCCCAGTTCCCCTTCCTGCTGCGGGGCCTCCAGAAGACTGCAGACTTTATGGAGGCCATCGAGGGGGCCCGGGCAGCATGTGCAGAGGCGGGCCAGGCTGGGGTGCACGCCTACCCCAGCGGCTCCCCCTTCCTCTTCTGGGAGCAGTATCTGGGACTGCGGCGCTGCTTCCTGCTGGCCGTCTGCATCCTGCTGGTGTGCACTTTCCTCATCTGTGCCCTTCTGCTCCTCAACCCCTGGACGGCTGCCCTCATAGTGAGTCCTTGCAGGAGTGGGGACAGAGAGATCCAGTGGCACCCACACCCTACCCTGGCCAGCCCGTCAGCCCTCCTGTCAGGATCCCTCCGTGAGCCCTGCCTCCCCCAGGTGCTGGTCCTGGCGATGATGACCGTGGAGCTGTTTGGTATCATGGGTTTCCTGGGCATCAAGCTGAGTGCCATCCCTGTGGTGATCCTCGTGGCCTCTGTAGGCATTGGCATCGAGTTCACAGTACATGTGGCTCTGGTGAGCACAGGCACCCTGGGGAGGGCCCAGTCAGCTGATTCAGTATTCAACAAATAATGTTCAAACCCCTACTATGTGCTAGGTACTATTTAAGAATTTGGGCCAGGCACGGTGCCCCATGCCTGTAATCCAAGCATTTTGGGAGGCCAAGGCGGGTGGATCATCTGAGGTCAGGAGTTCAAGACCAGCCTGGCCAACTGGCAAAACCCCGTCTCTACTGAAAATACAAAAATTAGCTGGGCATGGTGGTGCACACCTGTAACCCTAGCTACTCATGAGACTGAGGCAGGAGAATTGCTTGAACCTAGGAGGCGGAGGTTGCAGTTAGCCAAAATCACATCACATCACTGCACTCCAGCCTGGGCAACAGAGCAAGGCTCCATCTCAAAAAAAATTTTTTTTTTGGAAAAAAAATGAAAAAGAATATGGGATATAATAGCAATATAGTTTTTTACCTCCAAGGAGCTTATATTCTGGGGGTTGAGATAGACAATAATGCCTGGGTGCGGTGGCTCACGCGTGTAATCCCAGCACTTTGGGAGGCCACGGCGGGTGGATCACCTGAGGTCAGGAGTTTGAGACCAGTCTGACCAACATGGAGAAACCCCATCTCTACTAAAAATACAAAATTAGCTGGGCATGGTGACGCATGCCTGTAATCCCAGCTACTCAGGAGGCTAAGGCAGGAGAATCGCTTGAACCCAGGAGTCAGAGGTTGCAGTGAACCAAGATCCTGCCATTGCACTCCAGCCTGGGGAACAAGAGTGAAATTCTGTCTCAAAAAAAGAAAAAAAAAGAGAAAAAATGGGAACCAGTGATTCTTTTGAATAGTTTTACTGTGGACCATTGTGGGATGGGCGAAGAAGGGTGACTCACACCTGTAATCCCAGCACTTTGGGAGGCTAAGGCTGGTGGACTGTTTGAGCCAGGAGTTCAAGACCAGCCTGGGCAACAAGGCGAAACCTCATCTCTGCAAAAAGATTGTAGGCTGGGCACAGTGGCTCATGTCTATAATCCCAGCACTTTAGAAAGCCAAGGTGAGCAGATCACTTGAGGCCAGGAGTTCAAGACCAGCCTGGCCAACTTGGTGAAACCCTGTTTCGAATAAAAATACAAAAATTAGCTAGGCATGTATTTTGTATTTTAAAAATAAAAATACAAAAATTAGTGTGGCGGGTGCCTGTAATCCCAGCTACTCAGCAGGCTAAGGCAGGAGAATTGCTTGAACCTGGGTGGCAGAGGCTGCAGTGAGCCAAGAGTATGCCACTGCACTCCAGCCTGGGCAACAGAGCAAGACTGTCTCAAAAAAAAAAAAAAGTAAACCAATTAGCTGGGCATGGTGGTGCATGCCTATAGTCCCAACCACTTGGGAGGCTGAGGCAGGAGGATCACTTGAACCCCAGAGTTTGAAGCTGCAGTGAGCCATGATTACGCCACTGCCCTCCAGCCTAGGCAACACAGTAAGTTCCTGTCTCAAAAAATAAGAAATGGGATGGTAGCAGGATGGCAATGTGGGCTTAATGGAGGGGTTCTACAAAGATACCTGAGATGCAGAGATACCAGAACCGACGAGGGCCTCACCCAGGGCTGTGTATACTCTGGCAGAGGAAAGGGGGGACCCACAGCCCAGCCAGACTCCACAAACAGCTCCCTTCCTTTCCCCAAAAAAGATCTCAATTATTATTCTAAGAACAATATATGGTCCTTGAAAACAAACAAATCCAGCATGCAGAAAGATATAAAGGAAGTATTAGTAATCTTCCTAATTCTACTCTGAATTAGGCTACTCTGAAACGCTACTCTGAGAAGTAACTGTTATCACTTTGACGTCTGTCTTCTAGATGGACCAGTGATTGCCAAACTTCTCTTTATAGGACCAAATAGTAACCATTTCAGGCTTGGTAGGCCATAGAGTCTCTGCTGCAAACCTGCCATGGAAGCACAACATTGTTAAGACTATTCATTAACCAGTGGGCATGGCTGTTTCAACAATACTTCATTTGCAAAATAAGTGGCAGGCTGTAGTTTGCACACCTTATTTTTGTTGTTTGTTTGTTTGAGACAGGCTCTCACTGTGTTGCCAAGGCTGGAGGATAGCGGTGCGATCTCGGTTTGCTGCAACTTCCACCTCCCTGGCCAAGCGATCCTCCCATCTCAACCTCCCAAGTAGCTGAGACTACAGGCCCACACAACCACACCCAGCTAACTTTTGTATTTGTTATAGAGACAAGGTTTCACCATGTTTCCCAGGATGGTCTCAAACCCCCGACCTCAGGTGATCCACCCACCTCAGCCTCCCAAAGTGCTAGGATTACAGGCATGAGCCACCATGCCCAACCTTGTTTCTAGAGACAGGGTCTCACTCTGTCACCTAGGCTGTACCCTATTTTCTACATGTCTGTGTGTCTAAGCTCACCAGACCCATCCATATGGTATTCCCTAAAATACTGTACAGTTTTAGGGAATACCATAAATGCTCCCTGTACAGTTCCCATGAACTTAGTTCACCTGGCCTTTGGTGGACCAAGATATGGTTGAGCTCCGAAGACAGATACAGGTGGGGACATGGATCAGCTGGCCATGACTGGCAGAGGAGCAGCTCCAGGACCGCTCTGTTTTTCCAGGGCTTCCTGACTACCCAGGGTAGCCGGAACCTACGGGCTGCCCATGCCCTGGAGCACACATTTGCCCCTGTGACCGATGGGGCCATCTCTACATTGCTGGGTCTGCTCATGCTTGCTGGTTCCAACTTTGACTTCATTGTAAGGTAGGGGAGGGCTTGGGGCAGGGAGGCAGGGCTCAGGGCCAGCCCGGGCTGACTCACCTTCCCCCGCCCCCAACCAGGTATTTCTTCGTGGTGCTGACAGTGCTTACACTCCTCGGCCTCCTCCACGGACTCGTGCTGCTGCCTGTGCTGCTGTCTATCCTGGGCCCGCCACCAGAGGTGACCACACTCTCAGCACTATCCCTCTGTTCCCAGCCCAGGGGACAGGGTAGGGACAGGCAAGGGAAGGGGCAGAGCCAGGACAAAATAGCCCCTGTGGTACAGACAGGCTCAGCTCACAAGGTCCCTCCCCAACGGGTGCCACCAGCTGAAGGTGGCAGCCTCCTACTCTCCCCAGACACCATGTTCCTGCCCCTTAGCCCTCCTGGCTTCTTCATGGGACCCACCTTAGCCCTTTAGGATCCAGAGCAAGGTGCAGGGTTTGCCCCAGGCCTCAACATCCTGTCAATTGCCAGCTGTCATATCCTGCTGGAGACCAAGAAGGACCCCAGCTTCCCAACAGCCATGGTGATCCCCAGGGAGATGCTGAAGGGGCTGGGAGCCCCAGGGGCTCCTGGGCTCACTGGGGCTGGTGTCTCCCCACAGGTGATACAGATGTACAAGGAAAGCCCTGAGGTCCTGAGTCCATCAGCTCCAGAGGGAGGCGGGCTTAGGTGGGGGGCATCCCCCTCCCTGCCCCAGAGCTTTGCCAGAGTGACTACCTCCATGACTGTGGCCATCCACCCACCCCCGCTGCCTGGTGCCTACATCCACCCAGCCTCCGATGAGCCCCCTTGGTCCCCTGCTGCCACCAGCTCTGGCAACCTCACTTCCAGGGGACCAGGTCCAGCCACTGGGTGAAAAAATAGCTGAAGCACAGAGACCCTGTGTGGGCTGCGTGAGGTCACTGGGAAGCACTGGGTCAGGTATTAGATGCAGGATGGACCCCTGGAGGGCCCTGCTGCTGCTGGTCCCCCTCTCCTGACTCAGCCGTCACGGACCTCTCTGATAGCCATACAGAACAGCCACCTTCTTGCACACCCAGGCCTGTGTGGGCCTGTGTCTGTGTCACGTGAGAGTAAAAGCCAGCACTTCAGGCTGCAGTGCAGCCCTGTCCCCCTTCCCACCCCACACCACTGCCTGCCCAGCAGACCAAGCCCGAGGGGCCCTCCAGCACCCTTCCTCAGCCCCAGCCTCACCGCCTGGCGAGTCCTGGGCAGGCTCTCCGTATCCCTGCTCACCTCCTACCACATCCATTATTTATATGAAGATGTCTATTTTTGTAGTATACATAGATGTTAGCTATGCTGAAAGTTTTATTTTTTAAAGAATGAAATATATTCTATGTGAACTCATCTTAAATGACTTTGGTGCTTTTTTTTTGGACAGAGTGGGAAGTTTGCAAGTGAACATTAGCTATTGGAAGGGGCTTCTGTGGTACCAGGGCCTGAGGTATTAGCTTCTCTAGGGAAAAGACCCCAGATTCTGGATTTTTGTCATATACTTGGTAATAGCATCTGGATTAAGTGCTTACTATACAAAATGATAAGAAATTTTGTTGGTGTGAAATCTTACTGTATTCATTCAGGAGACTGGGAGCAGAAAAAAAAGGAACCCCGCCATGTGGCTTTCAGAGCCATCATATTCCCGCTCACCTGCCTCTCCAGACTCACCTCCTGCTTCACCCGCATGGGAAACACCATGGTAGAGGAGCAGAGCCATGCAGCAGGTGACAGGTGCAGTGCAGGCGGACAGGAAAGTGGCCAGTTGACGCCGAGATAGGTCAGCAGGGTCTGGGGAGCTTCTCAGGAGGTGTGCAGACCGAGGGAAAGGAGCCAGGTCCAAGAGCAACCTCTAGGGCAGAGGCCTCTGAAAGTTGGTAGTTGGCCTGACAGCTGAGAGGCATCTTTGGCTAGCCAGCCAGTGGATCAGTTGCAGGAACTGCCCAGAAACAGGTGCCAGCAGCTAGTGAGGACACAATTGAAGCTATTTGTTCTGTGGAGGTTGAACAGCCCCACTGAGCAGAGGCGTTGAAGAGTGGCCACAGCCCTGAAATAGAGCACGGAGCCTCACCCAGCAGCACGGGGAGGTTTGCAACTGCCCTTTCCCAGCCATCGACGGAGACACATAGACCCTGGGCTCCAACCACCCACTCACCAGGAATGAGGCCACCCCACAAACATGGCCTTCTCACATCCCACCCCACCTGGACAAAGGCCAAGAAATCATGTTCTGACCAAAGACACAAAAAAGAAGAAACGACTATTGCAATTGAATCCACACTAAAATGCCTAAAAAGACTCGAGAAGTGGGTGTTGGTATAGAACCTAGGGTACACGGTACAACCAGCAGGCTTCTGTGGGGTCCAGAGGTATTAGCTTCTCTAGCTCTGGGTGGGAAAGACCCCAGATTCTGGATTTTTGTCATATACTTGGTAACGTCATCTGGATTGAGAGCTTACTATAGGGAGAGAGGCTGGATTTGGGTCCAGTAGTGTTTGGGTCACCAAGGAGGGGCTTCTAGGTGGAGCAGAGAGAACTCACCAGGCCAGAATAGTGCAAAGGGGGTCAGCCAGCTGTGCCACTTACCAGTGGAGTAACCCTGGGGCAAGTTACCCAGCCTCAGTAAGCTTCCTCATTTTCATCTTCCCAGGCCCAGGGAGATATAGTCTCTGCCTCTCACCCCAGCGCCCCCTCATCAGACACATGGGGGCCACCGTCTGGACAGGCTGAATTGGTCTTCAGGTCCATCTGCCATTCCCTTTGCCTAGAACACTTTCCCACCTCCCCTTGACATGACCCCTTATCACCCTTCTAAGTGAATTGGATCGGATGCCATCTCTTCCAGGTGTCATGCCTCCTATGAGGTCCCACTGCTCCTGAGTGTCTGTGTCCAGCTGTTTCCCCATCCCTCTCCCTAAGGCAAAGGCTCACTACAGGTAAGGAATGGCGGGACAGGACCCTAACCCCGGGGACAAACACCTGCCCGCAAAGCACTGGGCACCTGGCACCGCACACGGGGTGCGGGTCCCAGAAGGACCTGCAGAGGAGAGCAGCAACCCACGAGTCCCAGTGGTCCAGCCCCCGGGGCCCTGCCCGAGCCACCCCAGCCAGCCTAGAGCTGCCTGTGATTGGCATACCCATGGTGCACCATGAAAAGACACCCTCACAATGCTTAGGCTCCCTCTGTGCAGGGGTTTCTGCGCTATTTTAGGACATGATGCCTCTAACACGAGCTGTGTGCATAAACTACATGCAAGGAGTGCGTGCCGTGCAAGCACCCAAAAACCATACGAGTCTTGAGTGTTAGCTCTCTCTGCGAGGTTTGAAGTGGAAGTCAGACACACACTTTGGTTTCTCTTCAAATCATGTAGATCTTTTGCCTTTTACTAAAGATTTCCGTGGAGAGAAATAGTTTTGAGTCACTATGGAATTTTTTGAGGCCTTGTGTTTCATGACACTGAACTGCAAGTGTCGAAGATTAGATCTGTAAGCCACATGATTTTGAACTGCACTTCGTGTTTATTGGCTTCTGTGTGTGCCACCATGCCCAGTTAATTTTTTTTCATACTTTGTTGCAGATGTAAGAGATATAAAAATAGTGGAAAGCATTTTCCAGTCGTTACTTAAGCCTTATGGGGCTAGAGTTTCAGGGATGGTATATCTAGCTGCTAGGGATTTAGTGAGGCTCTTTCAGACTGATTTTTTTCCCCAATTCAACTGCGAATCCAAACTGTTTATGTGGTGAAGATACAAGGTTCCTTCCCTTATGAAGCTTTTCTTTTCTTTTGGGGGGCAGGGACAGAGTTTTGCTCTTTTTTTTTTTTTAAAGATGAGGTTTCTCCATCATGGCCAGGCTGGTCTTGAACTCCTGACCTCAGGTGATCCACCCACCTCGGCCTCCCAAAGTGCTAGAATTACGCGTGAGCCACCGCGCCCGGCCGAGTTTCGCTCTTGTCACTGAGTCTGGAGTGCAATGGTGCAATCTCGGCTCATCGCAACTTCCGCCTCCTGGGTTCAAGCGATTCTCCTGCCTCAGCCTCCCCAGTAGCTGGGATTATAGGTGCATGCCATTATGCCTGGCTAATATTTTGTATTTTTAGTAGGGATGGGTCACCATGTTGGCCAGGCTGGTCTCAAACTCCTGACCTCACCAGGGCCTCCTAAAGTGTTGGGATTACAGGCATGAGCCAGATTGCCCAGCCCCTATGGAGCTTTTCTAATGGAACCAAACACAAAACAAATAATTTAATAAATAACATAAATCCCGGATGAATAATATCTCAGTGAGAAGTGCCCTGTGGAAAGAGTATTTTGATAGAATAGTCTACCTCCTTCCTATTCCCTCCTCATAAGGGAGCTAACCTAGCTTCATGGCTTTAAGTAAATGCCATCTGATAGCTAGAGACCCCCCAGTTTATAGCCATCACCTGGTCCTACTGACTCCCACCTTCAAAGCATATGCTTCATCCAACCACATTTTACCACCTCCACTGCTGCCATTCTGGTCCAAGATCTCTTGCTGGATAATTGCAAAACCTCCCTAACTGTTTTCTCTAGACCATTCCTCTATCTTGCTCTTGCCCTTCTCTATCCCAGTCCTCCACATAACAGGCAGATTCTGGCGGGGCGAGGTAGCTCATGCCTGTAATCCCAGCATTTTGGGAGGCTGAGACAGGAGGATCACGAGGTTAGGAGATTGAGACCATCCTGGCCAACATAGTGAAACCCCATCTCTACTAAATACAAAAAAATTAGCTTGGAGTGGTAGCATGCACCTGTCGTCCCAGCTACTCAGGAGGCTGAGGCAGGAGAATTGCTTGAACCCAGGCAACGGAGGTTGCAGTGAGCGAAGATTGTGCCACTGCACTCCAGCCAGGCAACAGAGCAAGACTCTGTCTCAAAAACAAAAACAAAAACAAGCCAAATTATTTTTTTTCTTTTCTTTCTTTTTTTTTTTTTTTTCCACAGGGTTGCTCTGTCCACCAGGCTGGAGTGCAGAGGTGCAATCTTAGCTCACTGCAACCTCCATCTCCTGGATTCAAGCAATCCTACCTCAGCCTCCCAAGTAGCTGGGACTGCAGGTGCACACCACCACACCAGCTAATTTTTGTATTTTTTGTAGAGATGGGATTTCACCAGGTGGACCAAGCTGGTCTCAAACTCCTGGACTCATGTGATTTGCCCCCTTTGCCCTCCCAAAGTCCGGGGATTACAGACAGGAGCCACCATGCCCAGCCCAGATTATTATTCTTTTAAAGTAAATCTGATCACACATCACTCTTCTCCACAAAACCCTCCAATGCCTTTCCCCATGACACGTGGCTCCCTGCAGATCTCTTGTCAAATGTTATCTCATCAGAGGTCTACAATCACTGCCCTGTATGAAATAGTCCCACTTCCACCACATAGCTGTCTTTTTAACCTGTTTTGCTTTTCTTCATAGCACAAACTACTCCCTGAATTAGATCATACATTTCTTTACTTGTTTACTGAATGTTTCTCTTAGAATGTTAGCTCCATGGGCCGGGCCTGGTGGCTCACGCCTATAATCCCAGCACTTTGGGAAGATGAGGCGGGCGGATCACGAGGTCAGAAGTTCTAGACCCACCTGGCCAACATAGTGAAACCCTATCTCTACTAAAAAATACAAAAAATTAGCCAGGCGGCCAGGCATGGTGGCTCACATCTGTAATCTCAGCACTTTAGGAGGCCGAGTCAGATGGATGGCTTGAGGTCAACGGCTCAAGACCAGCCTACCTAACAGGGTGAAACCATGCCTCTACTAAAAATACAAAAATTAGCCAAGTGTAGTGGCGTGTACTTGTTATTCCAACTTCTTGAGAGGCTGAAGCAGGAGAGTTGCTTGAACCCGGGAGGCGGAGGTTGCAGTGAGCCAAGATCGCACCACTGCACCCCAGCCTGGGCGACAGAGTGAGACTCTGTCTCAAAAAAAAAAAAAAAAAAAAAAAAAAAATTAGCCAGGCATGGTGGTGGGCACCTGTAATTCCAGCTATTCAGGAGGCTGAGGCAGGAGAATTGCTTGAACTCGGGAGGTGGAGGTTGCAGTGAGCTGAGATCAGGCCATCACACTGTAGCCTGGGTAACAGTGCAAGATTTTGTTGCAAAAAAAAAAAGAATGTTAGTTCCATGAGGCATTGGACTTGTTCGATGTATTTATTCCATGACCCTAAATCAGTGTCTAGTGCAAGAGCATTCAATGAATAATTGTGGAACAAATGAATGAATATGTTTTCTGAACACATATACAGAATTTAATCTGTTCCACTACAATTCTAAGTATTTTATAAAATTAACTACTTTAATCTTCCTAAAAACTCTACTAAAGGCCAGGTGCAGTGGCTCACGCCTGTAATCCCAGCACTTTGGGAGGCTGAGGCAGGCGGGTTATCTGAGGTTGGGAGTTCTAGATCAGCCTGACCAACATGGAGAAACCCCATCTCTACTAAAAATACAAAAAAAATTAGCCAAGTGTGGTGGCTCATGCCTTGTAATCCCAGCTACTCTGGAGGCTAAGGCAGGAGAACTGCTTGAACCCAGGAGGCAAAGGTTGCAGTGAGCCCAGATCTCTCCACTGCACTCCAGCCTTCGCGACAGAGGGAGACTCCATCTTAAAAAACAAAAACAAACAAAAAAAAAAGCTCTACTAAATATGTTCCATTATCTCCATTTTATAAATAAGAAAGCTGTGGCAAAGAAAGTTAATCACAAAAACAGTGTGTGTGGAGCTGGGATTCAAACGCAAGCATCCTGGCTCCAGAAGACACACTCTTGTTTTTATTATTATTATTATTATTATTATTTTTTGGAGCAGATGCAAAACCAGACACACTCTTAATCACTATGCTACCTTTTTTAACATGTTGTAATTGGTCTATGCTGTGCTTTTTTCACCAAAGATCATGGATTTTAAAAATATCATTATAGAAATATAACATAGTTAATATAACCAGTCCTCTAGTAATGGACATACTGATGATTTTCAATTTCCACTACCCAGACAATGCTGCCATGACATGGTAACTACTGAGTAAACACATTTTCTGTCTTGAGAGATAATGCCAAATAACATCTTTAATCTCTGTGCTATATATATACACTTTGTGCTATATATACTTTGTGATATATATATATATCACAAAGTATATATATATGTGATATATATATCCATATATATATCCAAATATATATATCACAAAGTATAGCACAAAGTGTATATAGCATATATATATATATAGTGTGTGTGTGTGTGTTTTTATATATATATTTTTTTTTTTTTTTTTTTTTTTTTTTTTTTTTTTTTTTTTTGAGGCAGAGTCTCACTCTGTCACCCTGGCTGGAGTACAGTGGCACAATCTCAGATCACTGTAACCTCTGTCTTCTGGATTCAAGCAATTCTTGTGCCTCAGCCTTCCAAGTAGCTGGGATTACAGGCATGTACCACCACGCCTGGCTAACTTTTTGTATTTATAGTAGAGAGAGGGTTTTGCCACATTGGCCATGGTGGTCTCGAACCTCTGAGCTCAGGCAATCCACCCACCTTGGCCTCCCACGGTGCCCAGTCTCCTGTGTAATATCTTTTTGAATAAAGTCCCTGAGACGGAAATCTAACTTTATTTTCTTCTAAATAGTCAACTATCTCTCATTTTAGGTTGATAGTATCTTGCTTTGCAGCTCATTTAAAACTCTTTATGGAATAAAGTGCCATTTAAATGAGGAAATAGGCCAGGTGCCGTGGTGGTTCACAGCTGTAATCCCAGCACTTTGGGAAGACGGAGTGGGACAGCTTTAGCCCAGGAATTTGAGATCAGCCCGGGCAAGATAGGGAGACTTCATCTCTACAAACAGAAAAAAAAATTAGCCAAATGTGGTGGAGCACACTTGTAGTCCCAGCTAATCAGGGGGCTGAAGTGGAAGGATTGCTTGAGCCCATGAGGCTGAGGCTGCAGTGAGACGAAATTGCACCACTACATTCCATCCTGAGAGTTAAGACCCTCTCTTAAATAAATATAAGGAAACAAAGTCATTTACTTAACATTTACAGAGTGCTGATTATCTGACAGAGACTGCGGAAGCAGAAATGAGTAAGACGTCACTCCAATCCCCAGGGATCTTTCTCCAGGGAGATTTCCAACCTCAGGAAAACAAGATGTATGGTGAACGAAGGAGATAGCAGAGGGTCTGCAATAACTAAGTAAACAGGGAGCTAGAGGACTAATACCTCCAGGATGAGGGAAGTTATGCAAAGATCGTATTTGAAAGAAGAGTTGCTAGTATTTAGGAACCACTTACTAAGTTGTGCCTTGAAAGTGAAATAGATTGAATTTTGTCCAGAAGGTCAATGGGATATTCCAGGACTTAAGGGCCATAGGACTGACCATCATAGACAGGTCTGGCTGCACTGTGAGAAATGGATTGAGGGGGTGCTGGAGTGAAGGCAGGAAGACTGAGACGTGTCAGACAGGACAGGCTGAACCTGGGGCTGAGAGAACGAAACCAACTGCAAAGGTCTCTTACAAGGTAAAAGCGACCTGAGGCAGGTGTGAGGAAGAGGAATAGGCAAGGATGAGATCCAGGTTTCTGGCGTGGGCGCCCACGGAAGTGAAAAACACGATGGGGGCAGAGCTGGGGAAAGCTGGGGAGACCAATTTCGCAAGGAGCCTTTGGTGTCTGAGGGACATTCAGGTAGTGATCTCCAGGAGGCAGGTCTGGAATGAAAGAGGGAGTTGAGCTGAACAGATAGATAATATGAGTCATCAGAATAGACTGCTGGGCGACAATGCCCAGAGACAGGGCGTAGAGTGAGGGCGTCGAGCGAAAGAAATCTGCGTTTTCGAGTTTCGCCACCGCAGAGAGGCTCAGCCCAAGCCCTGCCCGGCCCCACCTCGCCCACACCGGCTCGACCCGTCACAAAGGTCTATGCGTGGCAGACAACGGTCCTTCCGGCTCCCAGCCCGCTGAGCACGCCGGGAACGGAAGCGCGATCCGGAACGCCGAGCACGTCGGGAGTTGTAGTTTGGGGCAGGCTCAGCTGGGCGGGCCCAGGGCTCCCCCCGCGAGTCCCGACACTGGGTCATTTGAAACCCAGGTCCAGAAAGCGGTGATGCTCCCGGGGCAGGGTGCCTTTCCGGCGGCGACATGGGGTGCCCCGGGCCTCATCCCCTCTCCGCAGGGCGTGGCACTTCCACGCCTCCACGATCTGCTCCACCTGCAGAGCAAGGCCAGTCAGCGCTCAGTCCCGCGGTGGCCCCTCGCCCCAAGGACTGTGGGCTGGGCCGCGCCCTCCTCCTCCCAGCGCCCTGAAACCCCGCTGCTGAGTGGAGCTGGGCCGGTTCCCCGCGTCCGCACCGGGATGAGGGGCTCCTGCCGGTTCTGCTCTTCGAGGACGCTCAGCTCCACCGGGGCCAGCAAGGCTAGTCTCAGCTCTTTCACCACGGGGGCCGCCACCTCGGCCACCGGCCGCTCCAGCACCGCCTGCGAACGCCAGCCCTGAGTCGGGCACCCGCCTTGCGGCCTGCTAGCCGGGCTTGCGGCCCGCACCTCCTTCCGCGCCCTTGCGCTCCCCCAGCCCCACTCACTGCGCCCACGCGCGCCCAGCTCCGGGCCGCGCGGACCAGTTCAGCCTCGTCCACGCAGAGCTTGTCGCTGCGTAGCAGAAGCAGCAGCGCGGCCGCCGACAGCTCCAGGAAGCCTCGGGTCCGGAGGGCCTCCTGCGACCGGCAAATGGGTCAGGGAGGAGCAGAATGCATTGCGTGGGGTGAAGAGTATGAAGGGAGCAGTACCTGGCTGTGGGCCTCTATGAAAGCCACGCAATGCTCCTGCAGCGGCCCCAGGCCAAAGGTTACGGCCACCTGCGAGCAGAATGAGGGAGGTCAGGTTGGAGACTGGAGTGGTCGCATAGTCCAGCTCTGCTCACTGGGACCCACCACTGCAAGCCTGACCCTAGCCCTAGCTGGGGAGGCGGACAGGGTCCTCGGCCCTCCAGGAAACTAGACCCAGTGAAAGCCTTGGTACACACATATACACACAGGTGGACTCACTCTACAACCTGTCCTTCCCTGCAGGAGACCACCCCACGGCCTTCAAACCCCACCTGGAGCTTAGTCTTGGCTTCTAAAGTCTACAGCCACCCATCCCCCTACCCCAAGTCCAGCTGAGAACCATTCCCCAGCCCTAGCTAGAAGACCAGCAAAAACCTCCAGTCCCTTCAATATCTGCTCCTGCACCTGACCCAGCTGATATACCCAGGACCCCACATGTCTGGGCATAGAATTCATCATATAAACATCATTGGAGCACCCCCCCCACCCACAAAGTACCTAAGTTATTCCAGGCCAGACACAGCAGGCCCAAGCTCCCAGCACCTGGGGGCCCATTTCCACACACAGAGCCAGACTCCTCCATGCCTGTCCAGCAGCACCCACCTGCAGGGCTTCACAAACCAACTCCACATCCAGCACCTTCACCACAAACTGCAGGCACAGCTGGGAACAGAAATGAATGTGGGTTGTGTGGCGGTGTCCCTGCTCCAAGACACTAGCTCTACCCCAGAAGCAATGAGCAGGCTTGGAACGGTAAGTCACCTAGCAGCCCCAGATGCATCCTGACCTCCCAGGCCAGAGGAGGCAGAGAATCGTGGGAGCCTGAGACAGCTAGCTCACAGGAACTGGTCACTAGCAAAACCAATCCCCGCCACCCACCTTCTAGCACATTTGCCACTAATCAAGACCAGATAAGAGCCATGCAAAATTCTCCCCTTCTTTCAGGATGCTTAGCTTCCTCCACTTGTTCCCTTCCTGACTCAAGCATACTTCTATTTTTAGCAGAAACTTGAATTTCATCTGTAACATCTTTCTCATCTCTTGACTGCTGCACTCACCTCCTGACTGACTGGTGAGTCCTCCCCACCTCTTTCAATCCCTTCTCCCCTGAGCTTCCAGTTCCTCACTCCCTTACCGGAAACCTTCAGTGAATCTCCACTGCCTTCTGCTTAAAAGAAGTCCAAATGCTGGAGGGCCCTACATGACCAGGCCCTGGCGTCCTCTGCAGTCTCACCTTGCTCTCTCCTCACAGTCCAGACACACCAAATGTCTCACTAGCCCTTTTTCTGCCTCTGTGACTAGAATGCCATCTTCCCACTTCCCCTACGAACAAAATCCTATTTGTTCTACCAGATCCAATACAAATGCTTCCTCCTCCAGGAAGTCTTCTCCTCTCCCTAGTGGCAGGACTGGAGAGGTGCCCCACCCTCATGCAACCTCCGCTTCCCAGGTTCAAGTAGTGTTCATGCCTCAGCCTCCTAAGTAGCTGGGATTACAGGAGCGTACTAGCACGCCTGGTGAATTTTATTTATTTATTTATTATTTTTTGAGACGGAGTTTCACACTGTTGCCCGAGCTGGAGTGCAATGGCGCAATCTCAGCTGACTGCAGCCTCTGCCTCCCAGGTTCACGTGATTCTTCTGCCTCAGCCTCCCAAGTAGCTGGGATTTCAGCCATCCGCCAACACGCCCAGCTAATTTTTTGCATTTTTAGTAGAGATGGGGTTTCACTATTTTGGCCAAGCTGGTCTCGAACTCCTGACCTCATGATCTGCCTGCCTCATCCTCCCAAAGTGCTGGGATTACAGGCATGAGCCACCACTCCCGGCCTCTATCACACTTCTTATGCCACCCAGATAAGTGTTTTCAGTGTCTGTCTCCTCTCTCTCTCTGGAGAACAGAGATCAAGGCTGACATCCTTGTATTTATAGCAAGAGCCATAAACACCCCCCGACCCCCACAGCACACACGGGGCAGGCATGCATGGATCCTTTTGCACACAGGCACAGATTCATGCCCTCTAACATGGAGAGATACGCATACTTCTCTCTGTGTGGGCACACATTCCTCTCCAGGCCAGAGTGTGTGTGAAACAGGGTGGGAAGTAAGCCCATGAGAGGCAAGGGAAATGAGACAGGGACCTAGCACAAAAACCCACCTCTCTCAGTTCCTCCAGCCCATACTCCACAGCCGCTGTCAGCACTTCCAGCACCTGTAGAGTGGGTGGTTGGGGGAGTGGAAGGGAGTTTCCCCTGCCCTAGGCCCACAGTGTAATGGGCAAACTCCTGCCTCTGGCCCCCCCCACCTCTCCCACCCAGGCCTTTGATCAGTGGGCTCACAGAGTGGCGGTGCAGCTTGACACTGTTGGTATATAGGAACTCCAGCACTGCCAGGAAGGCCTCAGTTGGCACAGTGCTTAGCACCACAGGACTAGGCACCCCAGGGCCTGGCTCTGTGCCCAGAAGTCGCTGGAAGAAGTTGCATCTACAGGCCAACAAGCACCGATGGGCAAATATCTCCTGCTGTTCTTGACCGACCACGAAGCGAACATCACTGTGGGAGAGAGGCAGAGAGCCAGCGGAGAGGAGGCCATAGTCTAGAGTGCAACTTGGGCTGTGCCTTTGCCCACTCTGGGTCTTAGTTTCCTATCCAGAATGTAAGAGACAGAGCTTAGTCCCTCTAGCAGAATGTCTGGGACCCACAGGCCTGAGTTCTAGTCCCAGCTCTACCCAATAGTACCGTAGGCAAGTGACTTCCTATCTTTGAATCTCAGGTTTCTCACCCATGAAATGGGACAATAATCCTAAACCTCTGGTCTTGGAGGAGGTGACTATGCTTGATTACTGAGGGGCATCTGGGCTAATATAAGTAAGGTTGATCCCACCTTTCCCTCTCCTCCCCAGCCTGAGTCTTGGGGTAAGGGAAGCTTCTTTTGGCTCCTCCTCCACCAGCTGCAAACTCAGCTTTTTTCAGCCCTCCTCCAGACAGGAGGGTGTGGGAGTGTAGGGTGGAGAGTGCACATTGACTGCAAACAGACAGCAGTGATGCTCCATCATGAGCCAGACCACAGTTTCCATCTTCATGATCACTTCCGGCCCCAGCTCTGGACCTCTGAACAAGGCAGGTGATAGGAGGCAGATGAGGCTGGAGCCTCCTGGAGCCTCTTAGTCCCAGGTCCAAGCCTGGAGTGTTCACAGTGTTCACATTACCCAGACCAGACTGTGACCCCCAAAGAAGCAGGGTGATGGAAGTCACCACCCTTTGGGAAAGAGCCCAGATCTGAGAGCATGAAGACAGAGAGCTTCATTCTAGCTCTCCTCACAGCCCTGCCTCCTGTAACCTCTATCCCTGGTTTCAGACACTACTGGCATTCTAGCCAGCAGGGAGCAGCCAGCACCCCCAGGCTTCCTGTCAGGGATATGGCTCAATCCCTCAAGCTTTGTTCTTCTTGTGAAGCCTCAGTTCCCAGAACAGGATCATCTGTTCCTCTTCCTCAAGCAGAGAGGCCTCAACACCAAGCTGAGTGAGTGGAAGGAGGAGGGGAATCATGACCCACCGTCTCTCAGAATCCCAGGGGCTGAGAATCATTCTCTTCTGCCAGGGGCCCAACGTCCAAAGAAGAAGGGCTTTGCCTAAGTTCACACAGCAGCTCCCAGCTCTATCCCCAAGGACCCCCACCAGCCCTGCCTCTCTCCAGCTCTCAGGGTCTCACAGACACTGAGTGACCAGTAGCCAAGTTCCACATGTGACCTTCCCACAGCCTGAGTTCACCAGGGAAGAGGGCCAAGTTCTTATTCCCAGCCTCTTCTCACCAGGGCCGCCTCAGACCTGGGGCTGGCAGAGCCACCTAAGGAAAACCTGCAGGCAGGGCCCACCCTCACCTGTATTGCGGGTTGTTGACGAGGCTTCGGAGTGCTGCGGAAAAGGGTTCAGCTTTCCCATGCACGACCAGTCCCGGGGGATCCATGGGTGAGAAGGGTTAGGGGTGAAGGAGGGGGCCTGGGAAGTCTGACCAGGCCCTAGAGCTGGTGAGAGTAGCAAGGCCCCAGAGGGAGAAGCAGGGACTTGGGAGGCCTGTTTGCTGAGAAGCTGAGGTTTAAGAGTGGAGCAGGAGAGGCCCAGGCTCCTGAAAGCATCAGGGGCCAGAGGCTGAGGGACAGGAACAGACACAGGGAGGGGCCAGGAGAAGCCAAGGCTAGAGCGGCCCGTGGTCCTGGGAAGAGGCTGGCTGGCTGGCTGGCTGGCTGGCGGCGAAAGAGGCCCTGGCTGGGAGTCTGCCCAGGCAGCGCCGGGGTGGGAAGCCTGTAGGTTTCCATGGAAACTGGAGCCGGCCTGAGAATAGACTCCACCCATCTCCCGGCAAGCCCAGGGAAAACTTCAGCCCTTAGAGGAGCACTAAGCACCATCCAAGGGTCTTAGCCCCTGAACCCCGGCCTGCCCTAGGTTCAGAGTTCAAACTCCCTGCCCTCCTAACCCTTCCCTCCTCCACAGGCACACAGGGTCAGGATCCTGTTAGCCAGGCCTGGGAAACCCCCACTCAACAGGGAAAATCCTCGCCCCCATAGACGGGTTTCCAGGACCCAGACCTGGCTTGTTTGGGAGGGGACAGTCCCGTCCCTGCCAGAGGGAAGTCACATGAGTGTCAGCTCTGGCAGAGGTGTCACAGCCTCTGCCATCTCAGAAATGCCTCATCGGGGAAATCTAGGTACTAGGCCACACAATATGTAGCCAGCTAGGGACAAGCCCCAGGACACTTGGGTCAGCAAGGGTCATGAGGCTGGACTCGGGGTTCACTGCCGAGTCATTGCCACTTTTTAAGCCTGGTTCCTACCAGCTGAGCCAATGGGCCTCCCCTCCCCCGCACATAACCCTGAACTGAGGAAGTCATCCAAGCCCCACCCTAACTCTGCGCCGACAGCGGAAATGTTTGTCCTTGTTGAGGCTGATGGGGAGGCAGAGCCATGACGTGTTCCTTCCTGTGGGCCCAGACCCTGGATTCCTGAGCCACCACCCCCGCAGCCTCAAGGTCTCCCCCATATCCTAGGCCTCTGTGACTTGTTCACAAATGGCCAGTCATCCAGCCATTCCACAAGGGGGGGAAATGAACCCTGGCTGAAGAGCCCCGGGGTAGGATGAGGCCTTTCTGACCACAGCCTGGCTCTACATCTACCCCTGTAGTCCACGCTTAGGGAGTTTGCCTGAGTTTGCAACACCCTGTCGGCCGCTCTTCCTGATGACTCGGGGGCACCCCACACTCAGCACGTGCTCACAGTAACAACGCTGTCAGGTTAAGCCAGAGCTGGACTGGAGGGATGGATCCCGGAAGGGAGGAGTGTTTGCCCCAGCAACCCTTGGCAACTCCACAACACAGGTCCTTCCCCTCCCACTTGCCCTTCAGGCCCCCACAGCCAGAGCTGTGGAGTCAGGAGAGAACTCAGAAGCCAAAACTGCAGGTGACTCAGGTGCCTGAGGGAGTTTCAGGAGCAGAGGGCTGCCATCCCAGAACTGATTCTGGAGGAAGCGGGATCAGAGGCCAGAGGCAGAAGGTGGAAGGGGGCTTCACAAGTCTGCCCTCAGCCACAGCCAAGTGTGGGGGAATCTTTGTGCCAGCCACTCTAGAGTAGATCTAGTGCAAGAGGATTGGATTCAACACCCCCAGGCCTGGGGCTGAAGGAGCTGGGTCTGTTGGTCCTTCCTGGTTAGGGGTTGGAGGCACCATCACCTCCACAGTCCAGGCTGAGGCAGAGGTCCGCCTCCCCTTTTACAGAAGTCTGGTGGAAGGGAGAAAAGGCAGTGTCTAAGACTCAGTGCACCTGGCTAACCTCCACAGTGCACAGGGAAGGAGCTCAGCGGGCAGGGACTAGCCGAGGATCCCAGTCCCAGCAGCCTGTGTGTCTAACAGCCTTCAACCTTCTCGGCACCTAGGAACCCAGGCAGCCTGGGACTATTTGATCTACTTGTTCCAAAACACAGGTAAGAAGGGGGAAGAAGGTAAAAACTCTTGACATCACTGAGCAAGAGGCTGGGGTGGGTAGACAGATGCCCCGTGAAGGCCTCCCTGAGTGTGGGTCCTCCAGCCAGCAGGTCCATGGCCAGTAGGCCGCTGCCTCCTGGACGCCAGGAGGAGGAGAATGCCAAAGACTCCCGGCCGAAACTCTCACTGGTGCGGCCCCGAGGCCGCCTGCCCAGCATAGATGAGGCTCGACCAGCAGGTCCAGGTCCAGGTCCGGGACCGGCCTCACGCCGGGGCTCCATGCTGGGCCTGGTTGCGTCCTTCTCCCGCCGGAACTCCCTGGCTGGGCCAGGCGCGGGCCCTGGGGGTCGGCGGCCATCCCTGGGCCCCGTGCCCCCTCTGGGCTCACGGGTCAGCTTCTCGGGGTTGCCCCTGGCGCCCGCCCGTCGGGTGGCACCCTCCTACCGCAGGGAGCCGGTGCCGGGGGAGCGCTGGGAGGCTGCGCGCGCACAGCGTGCTCTGGAGGCGGCGTTGGCCGCAGGGCTGAGAGACGTGAGCTACTCGGGCACCGAGGCCGGGCATCTGGCGCAGGAGCTCTGCGAGCAGGTACGCGTGCGCCTGCGCGAACTCAGCCCCCCGCGCTACAAGCTGGTGTGCAGCGTGGTGCTGGGGCCACGCGCGGGGCAGGGCGTGCTTGTAGTTAGCCGCGCACTCTGGGACGAGGCGTGCGATGGGCTGGCCTCCGCCTCCTACACCAACGCCTCGATCTTTGCCGTGGCCACAGTCCACGGGCTCTACTGCGAGTGAGGGAGACTCCAATTCTGCAAAATGGTTTATTATCCTAGGAGGAGACCCTCCTGGGGCTCACATCCCAATAAATAAGTGTCTGACAATAAATAAAAGTGGTCCATAAATAACGCCCCCTAGCTGGGAGCTAAGGCTCAGGCTTATCTTGGAGAGTGGGTAGGAGCCAGGGAAGACAAGCTGCCCCCAACTCCAGTAAAGCTGGTCCCTGATTCCCTGGGGGATTCAGCCCAAAGCCCCCAGTGAGGCACCAAAGGAACGGGAAGGGCCACAAAGGCAAGGGCCAGAGCCTTCCAGGCACGGGCCTTAGGCCTCAGGGCTTGGGTGCTACGCTGGGCTGCGGTCCCGGAGCAGGCGCAGAGCATAGCGAAGTCGCTGCCGGAGGTCTGGGGAGCAGCCCAGCTGCCGAAGGTGGGAAGCGAGGTAAGTACAAGCACTGCGATTTCGGGCCACAAAAGTCACAAGGAGGGGCTCCCAGCCACTGAGAATCAGCTTGGTGTGGTCCCCGTAGAAGTTCACCTGCACACAGGAGGATGACAGTGGTCAGGGCCTAGGCTCCGGACCCAGCTTCCTCCCCAGCACCCTGGGCCTCCCAGACCTTCCCAGCAACTCCTGGATGGTCCTTTACCTGGACAGTGCCATCACTAAACAGCATGAGGAGAGCCTGATCCGTCTTGACCCACTGCAGCAGCAAGGGCGGGGCAGGTACCTCTACCTCTTCCACACTGGGCAGATCTCCACCCTGGGTGTGGGATTGGGGCAAGTCACTGATCAAGCATGAGACAGTCCCCTCGCCATTAATGTGTGCCTTATCCTCTAGCTTTGAGTACCACCCCCCACCACCAAGGGGGAATCAGAAGGGATCAGGATGTGTTGGTTTTCAGTGTGCCACAGCTCCACCCCTCACACCTTCATGAGGTGCTGCTCCATGTAGGAGGTGAAGTACTGCAGGATACCCAGCTGAGGCTGCAGGGCCCGGGGCACAGCACCCACGGAGAAGGAGAAGTGCTTTGTGCTGGTGGGGTTGTAGTGCACAGTCCTGGAATGGGGAGGCAGAGGTCAGAGGGTGCCCTGCACCAGTGCCCCTCCCCTGAGAAACCCTAGATCCCTAAGCCAGGAGCACACACCCAGGTGCAGCCCTGCTGGGTTAGTGGCCTAAATACAAGGCACCCCGTAACAGCACTTACTTTCTATTGGCTGACAGGGCCATATGTGTGCCATCATTGAAGAGCACAGCCACACGGCGGCTGGACAGTTGATACCCAAAGCCAAACTTGTTGGAGTAGTCAACCCACTTGCTGACCCACACCAGAGGCTCTGGCTGGGCCAGGGGGGCCGGGTTATGTTCCGCTGTCATGGGAGAGGAGAGAGTGAAGATCTGCTCCTGGCCTCCCAGCCACAGAACTCCCTCCACAGCAGCACGTACCAGACCCCGACCTTACCTGGGGGCATGAAGGCCACACAGTTTCTCAGCGCACAGAGGGCTGACTCCACCACTGTGGCCACAGTCAGACCTTCTTCAAATCCTGAAGGAGACAGGGCACTGAGATTTAGGCATCAGCCCCCCAGGACCCAGGCCAGGCCTCTCTGCTCACTCCTTCCCTCTGGTCCCTGGTCTCAGCTCCAGCAACCTCTCAACCTCCCTGCCTCCTCACCGTCTCCACTGCTTGCCAGTGTCTCACGGGGTGAGCTGTCTTCAGGTACTGTCTCTACCAGGCTGACAGGGGCTGGGCCAGAAGCTGCTGGAGCCTGGAGGGTTGGGCAGGGAAAGGGAGTGAGACAGGCCCCGAAATCCAAACCCCTGAGTCCATGGCCCAGCCCCGCCCTGGCTCCCAGGGCACTCCAGGTCAGAGCCCCATCAGGCTAGTGACACACAGCCAATTAGGCCACCATGAGGCTGGATGCTTCAGCAGCCTCTTTTATCCCCGGCTTCCCTCAGCTGCTAGGGTGGCGGTGAGTCAGGGGAACAGTGTCCACGTGAGTGCCTCACCTCTGGCCTGGCATCCTGATGGCCAATGGACGTGCGCATGAGACCACTCACCAAACAGGAGACCTCATCCCTCTCCTCAGCATGATTCTTACCTGGGGGTGAAGGGTGATACTGTCCTCAGTATCTGGCCCAGCCCCTCCACTTCCCACAGGGGTGACACAGAGATTGACCTCCCCAAGGACCTGTACTGCACATGCTCTCCCCCCCAAGTCCCCAGACACCCACACTCACATGCCCAAGACAAATGTGACAAGCTGCTCTCCTGCTCTACCCCTCAACCCACTGACACCCAAGACTCACTCTTGTTTTTCTTTCTTCCAAAGAGGCTCTTGGTAACTTTGGCAAACAGACTCCTAGCCGGGTTGGGGGGTGTCAGGTCTGGAACTGTCACACAGCTGCTGATAGGGAGTCGATCAGGGGTGTAGCCCTAAGGAGGGGAGCCATGTGAACAGAGAATAGAAGCTCCAGGGGTCCTGTCACCTGCCCCCTTTCAATCCCTGGGAATACACAGACCGGACTTAGAGGTCTAGGGAGCCACAGACCTTGGCAAAGAAGTCATGGCGCAGGATCTGGTCAATAGAGGGGCGGTCTCGGGGTGAAGCCCGAAGGATGGCAGCTAGAAGCTGCCGGGCAGGCAGTGAGAGGCTGGCAGGCAGCGTGTAGTGAACCTGCTTGATGCAGCGGTATGTCTCCTTCAGGTCAGCTGTCTCAAAGGGAGGGGTCCCGCAGAGCAGCGTGTACCTGTAGGGCAGAGCCAAGGGGTCAGGAGTCAAGTGGAGGGGATGCCCCATCCACACACCCACCACCTGTCTGCTGCTGACCCTGGTCACTGAGACTCACATGACACAGCCCAGTGACCACACATCTGCCTCAGGGCCATGGCCCTGTCTTAGTAGCACTTCTGGAGCCACATAGTTGGGGGTGCCACAGATGGTCCTGAAAGAAGGTGAGAAGGAGAGAAGGCTGAGACCTAGCCCAGCAGCCCCCCACCCCTTCCCCCACTGTGAGTCCAGACAAAGCAGCTGCCTGTCACCAAAGGCCAGAGAGCTTCTGCTTGTCCTGGGACAATGGATGCCAGGGATGGCAGCTGAGTCCCCGCCTACCCGCCTGGCCCAGCTGCTCAGCTGCTCTTCATGATAGGGGGAGGGCTTGACCCCCAGACCTGTCCCCTCCTCCAGGGTCGACACAGAGAGTCCACAGCTGATCCCTTCTCCCTTCCTGCACTCCTGTCTGTCAGACAGGCATCAGGCTGTCACCTCCCATGGTCTGTGCCACACACACACCAACACCAGCTGTCACAACCCCCATAAACACTCATCTGCCACACATGCTATCTGTGTCCCACACACTCAGTATGATGGCCACAGCAGGGTCTTCTTACACCCAGTGTCATGTCGCACCATTCCCACTCTCAGTCTGTCTCATACACCACATGCTGCCTGTCACCTTCCCCCATCCACACACAGGGTAAGTCATGTGCCTCCAAGAATCTGTATACCCCCATCTGTCTCAGGGATTCAGGGTCACCTACTCTATCTGTGTCACACATCTATAGGATCCTTCCTCTCTCTACCAATCCCAGTAACGCAGGCTGCCATCTCCATCTTCATATACGCATAAACAGCCCATCATCCCTTCCCATTTATCTCATGCACACATCAGACAGTCACCTGGCCTCCTACATACATATGCACTGTCACATATGTCACACACAGACTCCTTTCCTCAAAACTCACTTCTTCCTCTGCTCCAGGGGCTCCAACCGGGCTGCCAGCCCAAAATCCCCCACCTTCAGTTCCATGTTCTCAGTGATGAAAAAATTTCCTAGATGGGGAAAGAGAGGTGTGTCAGATTCTTCCTTCCTCCCTGCCTCCCCAACCTCCCATCCTCAGGGCTCAGGAGTCTCACCCAACTTGAGGTCCCGGTGCAAGATGCCCCGCTGGTGCAAGTACTTAAGGCCTGAAAGGATCTGCCGCAGGTAGTAGCGCACCTCTGGCTCCAACAGGGTGTGGCGGGCCTTCCAGATATGGGCCAGGGACTGCAGAGAACCACTGCCTCAGCCCCTGGTGGGACTTCCCTTCCCCTCCCCCTCCATCTGTGCTCCCTGTGGAAGAGACAGGTCCCCAGCTTTGGGTCTTAAGACTCTCTTCTCGGCTGGGGTGCAGTGGCTGATGCCTGTAATTCCAGCACTTTGGGAGGCCGATCATGAGGTCAGTTTGAGACCAGCTTGACCAACATGCTGAAACCCCATTTCTACTAAAAATACAAAAATTAGCCAGGCATGGTGGCGCCCGCCTGTAGTCCCAGCTACTCAGGAGGCTGAGGCAGGGGAACTTGAACCCGGGAGGCGGAGGTTGCAGTGAGCCCAGATCGCGCCACTGCATTCCAGCCTGGGCAACAGAGCGAGACTCTGTCTCAAAACAACAACAAAAAAGACTCTCTTGTCTCCCTCACCCTCATCCCTGCTGGAATCACCATCTTTCACCTTTCGGCTGCAGAGCTCCAGGAAAATGTAGATGTTGTCAGCGTCCTCAAAGTGGTGCGAAAAACGCACGATGTGGCGGTGCTGCAGGTCTCGGTGCAGCTCAATCTCATTTAGGATCTGCGATGAGGGCGCAGGGTCGTCATCCTTCCATGGTTCCCAGGCCACCATCCCACCCCCCCCACCCCTCGCCAGCTGAGACTAGACCCACCTTCTCACGCTGATGCGGTTTGGCAACGCGGCTCTGCGGGATGACTTTGACAGCGTAGGCGCTGCCAGTCTCTGTGTCAGTGGCCTCGTAGCACCGGGCAAAGCCCCCCTGTGAAGAGGGGGCATCAGGCTGGGTGTTCCAGGGAAGGCCGAGTCTAGCCCGCGGGCGTCCCCGAGTTTACGGTAAAGCGCCCACGCCTGGCTCGGCGTCAGAAAAGAGGCCGGCCAGGACCCCCACCTCCACCATCACCACCCCGGGGACGTCCCCCGGCCAACCTTGCCCAACAAGCGGCCTTTGAAGTAGGTGCGGCCGCTGCGCGGGTCCGTGATGAGGCGCCCGGGGTCTGACGCCGGTAGCCCGGCCAGCATCTCCAGCTCAGGTCCGGGCAAGGCACTCGGAGGCGGCCCGGGCCCGGCGGGGGGAGAGGGTGGGGCTGTCGCACGCTGGAAGGGGCGCGGGGACAGGAAACCGGCGGCGGGCTCCATACGGGCGGCGCGTCGCAGCGCGGGGGCCCGGCTTCTTCTCGGTTCCGCCCGGCCCCGGCCGCGCGTGGTGCTGCCTGGATTTGCTACGCCGCGCTCGCGCCCGGGGGAGCCCAGCGTTTTTATCAATGAACGCCTGCCCCTCCCCGGCGTCTCGTCACCGAAAGTTCCGCCCCCTTCCTGGCGGCGAGTCGCGGAGAAGCCACACCCATTCCCGGCCTTACGTCACCCAGAAGCTCCTCCCCCACCCAGCGCATTGCCAGGCCACGCCTCCTGGGCACGCCCTGGGGCGCAGCCCGTTTGCCAGTCACTGTGCAGGTGCGATCAGGGTGCAGGAGCCAGCTGATCCCTGTCCGTCTCCCACCCCTCCTTGGCGACCGCCAGTCCCCCTCATGGAGGCCTCTTTCTTTCCCCATCTTTCGGAACGTGTGCTGAAGTCCGAGTGGGACCTGGGCATCTGGAGGCGTCTCCCCAGCAACTAGATAGATCAGCGTTCTAGCCAGGAGGGGCGAGGCAGGGGCGGGGCTCGCTTTTGCCCGGGCTTCTCACCAGCACTCCCCTTTCTGTGTGCCGGACCGCGTGCGCTCCATGCCCTAGCCCAGGGCCCGGCCCAGTGCTGCCCTCTTTAGGACCTGAGAGGAAGGCACAGTCCTGGCTTGCCTGGCCCGAGGGCTGCCTTGCCAGGTTTGAGAGTCAAGCAGAGCCTGGTATTTCAAGGCTTTTACCATGCTTCCAGGCCCATCTTCCACTGCCCACTTCTACACTCTTGAGGGGCAGATTTCAGGTTCCTGTGGGCTCCCCAATTCCCTTCCTCTGAAAATACCCCCGGCCTGGGTCAGCAGCCAGAAGGCCAGAAAGTGATGAATGGGAATTGGATTTTTCTCAAATGCTAGCCACGGGCAATGGGGCAGCTAAGTCTCCCAACCATGTGGACCCTTAGATCCCTGCTCAATGCCCACCCTTCCCAGGGTCAGAGACAGAGCCCCAGGACCACAGGCCTCCTGACCTTGGCTCTCATCTCTCTGCCCTCCCTCTGTGCCAGCCAATCAATTACTGTGCCATTCTGCAAAGATTTATTGAGAGCAACTGCTAAGTGCTGGACACTATCTCAAAACGAATTAAGGTCACAGCCCTTACTTAGTTTACATTCTGCTTGATGGAAACAGACAGTAGGCAAACAGATAAGGTAATTGCAGGCTGTGAAAAGTGCTATGAAGGAAGTAAACAGAAGAGCAAATGAAAGGCCTACTTTAGAAAGAGTAGCCCGGAAAGTCAACAAATATTTGCTGAGTACCCAAATCCTGTCAAGTTTATCTCCCAAATAGCTCTAATATCTATCCCCTTGGCTCCATCTTCCCCTCACACCCTGGCTTGGGCCACAGTCTCTGTGGTCAGGATGATTGCCACAGCTCCTTGCTGCTCTTCTGGCCTCAGTCTCATGCCCATTTCATCCCCCTCCGTATGCTGTTAGTGGGATCCCACCTAATCCCTCATCAGACCCATGAGGGCTAGCTTCTCCAACCTTGGCCTTCATGACCACTGAACAGAGACCCAGGACAGCCTAAGACATGGAGGAATACTAGTAGCCAAGATGACTAAGGGAGAGTGGGGGATAGGGGTGGGCAGGAAGGCCTTAAGTGCCTGCTCAAGAGTCTGGTCTTTATCCTTACAGGTCAGCAGTCTTCCTGTGGGGAGATGGTGGTGGGGCTAGAAAGCACAAATCCCCAGGGTAAATGGATCTGAGGCATTTAGAGAGTCAAAGGGGCATATTCAATTTTACAATGTTTTGTTTGTTTGTTTGTTTTTTGAGATGGAGTCTTGCTCTGTCGCCAGGCTGGAGTGCAGTGGCACAATCTCGGCTCACTGGAACCTCTGCCTCCTGGGTTTAAGTGATTCTTCTGCCTCAGCCTCCCAAGTAGCTGGGATTATAAGTGTGTGCCACCACGCCTGGCTAACTTTTGTGTTTTTTAGTAGAGAAGGGGTTTCACCACGTTGGCCAGGCTGGTCTTGAACACCTGACCTCAAGTGATCCACCTGCCTTGGCTTCCCAAAGTGCTGGGATTATAGGCATGAGCCACCGCACCTAACCTGCAATTTTACATTTGTAAAATATGTCTTTATTAGTTGACCAGGGCTGCCATAAAATGCTACTAAGTGTGGCTAAGCAACAGAAATGTATTTTCTCACAGTTCTAGAGGCTGGAAGTCCGACATCAAGGTGACAGCAGAGTATATTTCTTCTGAGGCCTCCTCTTTGGCTTGTAGATGGTGGTCTTCCCCCTCTTCTTCTTCTTTTCCTTTTTTTTTTTTTTTT